TGAGGGCTTGAAGCGCGTCTGCAGGAGAGGGGGCTGAGGGGCGCAGGGGAAGGGGGTGTTGCGCGGTGAGGTGCCGGGCGCAGTGATGGTGAGCCTCTTTGCTAAGGTGCTCTCCTACTTCTGGAGACGCGCAGGTGATGAGGAAGGAGAAGATGAGAGAGGGGCGGCCTCAGGTAGGAGTTCCTGGGCGCGGGGTGGGTTTACGGTCCGGATGCAGCTCTAGAGCCTGCAGGGCGTCGCTGGTCTCGTCCTCCACGTAGGTGGGGCTCCGTGAAGACCTGTTCCCTTAAGAACGGAAATCAGAAGAACAGCGTTTTGACTGCAGAGCACATGGGAGTGATCCTAGCTGTCCCTCTTCTGCTGTGTTTTCTGAGTAGGGCAGGTTACTGGTGCTGCTCAGAGTATGGAGGGAGGTGTAAGGAGCCTTGTGGTGGCTGGCAGGTGCTTTGGGCTTTCCCTTTACTGCTGTCTTGATAAATAAATCTTCTTCTGGGGCTGTAGAATGGAGATGATGGTGTAGCTTTGATGTTTGAGGCTCCAAAATGGTGTATGTTTAAGATGCCTTTAGTAGCATTATCCAGTGTAGCAAAAAGTGCTTTTTTGTATTTATGAATACAGAAAGCAAAAAAAGAGTACTTACTGTGTTAATAGTCTTGATTGCGAGTGTAGCTAATAATGTGTTAGAAATCTAAACTGGCATGCTTTGGTCCAGCTTTAAGCCCGAAGTTGTAGTGCAATGCTATTGAGTGTCAGTTTGTGTGATATGTAAGTAGGTACTACTGCTAATCCAAAAGACTTGAAACTCCCAGGTCTCTAGAGAAACAGCACCACACCTCAGTTCAGAAGTGTATTCACTGTAATATTGTATAAAGAAATTTGAATAATTAATTTGTATAGCTTGTTTGCTTTTCCTGCTTTTTCAGTGTAGAAATCTTAAATGTGTTGGATTCCCCATGAAAACAATGCTAAGAACTTTCTTATGCTATAGAAAATCTTGAAAACAGTTGTTGGCCCAGAGCTTTTGGGAGAAGCTCTTCAGCCTGCAGGTTTTGTTTTTTTTTTTGTCTCAAGTTTTTCAAGGTATTTGAATATATTCTGGATTCTGCACCTGAAATAGGGTAATCCTGATCTGCCTGAACAGAGAGGCTGGAACTCAGGAAAAGAAGAGTTTATGACCTTTGGAAGAAGGGGTGGGCAACTCAGGAGGACTTCAAGGATGTCATGAGGTTATGCAGGTAGCAAATTAGAAGGACCAAAGCCCAACTAGAAATTAATCTGGCTACTGACTCACCTCGAATACTGTGTTCAGTTTTGGGCCCCTCACTACAAGAGAGACATTGGACATGCCCTAACACCTCAAAGAAGAGCAGTGAAGCTGGTGAAGGGTCTAGAGAACAAGTCTTATAAGGAGCGGCTGAGGGCACTGTGGTTGTTTAATCTGGAGAAAAGGAGACTGAGGGGTGACTTTATAACTCTCTATATCTACCTGAAAAGAGGTTGTAGCAAGGTCAGTGTTCTCCCAAGTAACAAATAATAGGAGGAGAGGAAGTGGCCCTAGATGTGGCAGTTAGGGACATGGTTTAGTGGTGGACTTGGCAATGTTAGGTTAATGGTTGGACTTGATGACCTTAAAGGTCTCTTCCAACCTAAATGATTCTATGCTTATGTGTAGAAGTTGTGGAGACTGGAGAGCAACCCCATGGAAAGAGATCTGTGAGTTTGGGTTAATGTCAAGTTGAATGTGAGTCGACAATGTGCCCTTGCAGCAAAAAGGACCAACTGTGTCCTGGGGTGCATCAAGCACAGCACAGCTAGCTGGTTGAGGGAGGTGATTGTCCCACTCTACCCTGCATAAGAAGGACATCAAACTATCAGAGTGCGTTCGGAGGAGGGCGACCAAGATGGTGAAAGGCCTTGAGGACAAGACTTATGAGGAGTAGCTGAGGTCATTTGGCTTGTTCACCTTGGAGAAGAGAAGGATGAGGTGTGCCCTCATCACAGTCTACAACTTCCTCAAGGGAGGCTGCAGAGGGGAAGGTGCTGGTCTCTACTCTCTGGTGACCAGCAATAGGACATGAGGGAATGGAAGGAAGGGGAAGTTCAGACTGGGCATTGGGAGAAGGTTCTTTGCTTGGAGGGTGATCAGTCACTGAAGCAGGTTCCCCAGGGAAGTGGTCATGGCACCAAGCCTGTCAGAGTTCAAGGAGCGTCTGGATGATGTTCTTAGTCGTATGGTTTACAAGGAGCAGGGAGTTGTACTTGATGATCCTTAGGGGTCCCTTCCAACTGAAGATAGTCTATGGTTTTTGTCATGCAGCTTAAAGAATGTTGTTTTTACAATGTAGTTTTTATTTAACTAGCTTTCTTAATTGTTTGAAACCATAACTTGCTTTAAAACTTAAATGTAAAACTAATTATTTGACAACTGTTGGTATTTTTATCTGAACAAGAGAATTACTTTTTGGTAGAAGGGATAGCAGTTTCAATAGCATTCATTATTTGTTGCATAGTTCTGTAGAGAAGGGATTTATTTTTATGTCAACACTTTTCCTCTGGATGCAGGTGATAAAGAATTAAAAACTGTTCAAGGAGTAGTGACAAGATTTTGCTATGATTATGGGATGATAGATGACATGATAATCTTCACAAAAGATGCTATTACAAAAAATATGCTGCTGACTATTGGACAAGAAGTTACTGCCACGGTTGAAGAGGATAAAACTTCAGGTAGCTTGAAGGCCATCAGGGTAAGAGGTGAAGATAAATACTAGTCTAATTTTCTCTGTAACTTTGAGACTTTCTTTTGGAAGTTATTGTAGTTTTAGCCTCCCAAATTCTATAAAATAGGAGAAATTGCTAACCCTTCATCTAGTGGGGATAAGTTGTTTTGGTTTTTTTTATTATTTCATCTACTTTAAAATGTTGTTCCTTTAATACTGATTTTCTGAATATAGGTCTAGATGTAGTAAATATGTAGCTGTTGGTTGAAATAACTGTATCAGAATTTGTTTAGTCATACCTAGTTCGAATCTCTGTATTATTTTGAGCTTCAAAGTCAATTTTACATTACTGTTACATGAATGGATAAGAAAATAAAAACAGGGGCTGCAAGTTTACTCTTTGCACAGAAGTGAATAAGAATATCAATTTCAAAACTTCCTGATGTAAAGAATCAGCAACTGAATGTCATGGAGAGTTATAAAAATGGAGATTTCAGTATGTTGCTTGCTTAACACTTCATTTGTAAACCCACTTCAAGCTTGATTGTACATTGTCACAACTTTAAACTACTGGAATTTTTTTTAATTATATAGGCTCAACTCTCAGGTGCCTGTGATAATCTAGCTGAGAAGCTGAGTCAAGTGGCCCTTCTCTATTTACATATTATGTACATATGAGTGGTGCTTCAAAGACTGACAGCAATGCAGAAGCAGTAGATAACTGGGTGGTACAAAACCCATCTTCTTGCTTGTGTGTGTTTGGCTTAGCTGCATTGTACTTGAAGTACAACACTAGACTAGTGTACTTTGTCTAGTAAACTCAGGCTCACCAAAATCTGAGCAGAAGCTTAAGCTGCTTGTACACAGCAAGCCACGGTGTAACTAGTTTGAAAGTTAACTTGAGCTTTCTAGTAAATTGATGTTTTATAATTAAGCATCTTGTCAGCTCATGTCATCCATAAAGAATGTAATCAGCTAACATACTGGCCTCAAGTTCATGTTTCAGATGACAGGAAGGCAATGATTAACCAAAGTATTCTAATGTATCTAGTAATCTTATTAGTAAAGTTCTGATGTGCAGGTTTAATAAGAGTGTAAGTTACCAGATGGAAGAATTTTGTCATTATTATGTTAAATTAGCAAAGATACATAAATTATGGAAAGGAGCTCAAAGTCCTGCATTTGTTATCATATAGCATTTCTGATTCCGCATGCCTTTCCTTTATGCACCATCCTTATTTTGCTGCTTCATAAACATTTTGCTCAGTTGCCAGCAATGTCCAGACATAACCATCTGTCATATGGAAGTGAGTTTGTACTATTTTAACACATTCAGTAGTTCTGTTGGTACCAAGTAGCATATATTTAATATTAGAGTGAATTACAGTTTGTAACTGAAACTGCTAGTATCTCTCTGGTAGCTTTTCAGAAAGTTGGTCTCTTGAAACTGTTCATACTAATGATAAATAGAGACATGCCTTTCATACTTTCATCTGTCACCATGGGATCACTCCATATTTATATTTCTCTTCTGCTAGACATAGCTCTTCTCTTGATTGTAAACTTGAGCAGTTGAAGCTCCACTGAATTTTTCTGTGTACTTTTCTGGAAAAGAGCTTCATGGCTTTTGAGTAAGGCCCTGAATATTAGTGGAGGCATTGACATGTCTACAGAAAGCAAGGTTATGTGGTGCACTCTTCCTTGTTCTGTATTCCCCTCAAAATTTGAGGGTTTGACCCATCTGTTTTAATTTTCCAGGTGTCTGAAGGTCAAGCTAACTCAGTAAATTACTGAACACTTGGAAAGCCAGGGGATCATGTACATGTGCAGAGGCCTCTGCAATGTGTCTGTGACGTGCAGGGCATGTAACTGCTGGAGTGTTATTGCTGCATAAAACATCTAAGTACATTTGAGAAAAAGATGCATATTGTGGAGGACATGTGTTGTATGTACATAAAGCTCACATACACATCTATGACTGGACGTATAATAAAAAATTTTAATGTTGCCTGTTGAATGTACTTAGGTTTTGAAGAACTGCACTTAAGGCCAGTAGAGTCTCTGTAAAGAATGACCAGGTACCGTCATAGGCAGCTTTGTGAGTGATCACGTGAGCAGTTTAGTACAGTTCCATTCACTGTAATGGTTTCTTTTGGGTATGACTATGTGGCTGAAGGAGAAGAGGAGGTTTGTCTTTGCTGTGAGAAAAGAGTTGCCTCCTGTAAAACACATTAGTACGGGTGTTAGTCTAGAAAGTTACTTTGGTTTATTATAGTTCTCACCTTTTTTACCTCAAATTTAAAAATCTTTCTAGGATTCAAAGCTCTAACTTCGTCAGCCACTAAAGCTGTTAAGCTTAGGGAAATATCTTTATCTAATTAACCTATAAATAGGAAACCAATTAAAAGATGCTGGTTGCCTGCTGAAAGCCTTTTTTGTAATCGCTGGTCATCAATAATAAATATGCTTTTCATATGAACATGATAATAGTCCATGAGATGTATGCCAGCCTAATGGGGAAGGCAAGTTTTCTGGCTGAAATAATGAATTGCACGTGATAAACGCCTCCCTAAAGGCCGGACTTCAGCTTGAAATAAATGCAGACCTCTGAGAATTTTTTTTTTCCTCTAATGGTTGAATTGGCAGTAACTGTACTGTGCCTGATAAAATGAAGTTGACTAGAAATGTGACCTCTCAAGTAGGAGTAGACAGAAAATAAAAATACTAGAAGGCTAGATTGATTTGGTTTACTCTGTAACATTTGGGGGTTTAGGTGCATTTTCATATGTTCATGAAATCTGTGGACTACTGAGGAAATGCAGTAGAGTTACTTGTACCAGCTTTTTTCAAGCTCTGTTGCTGGTTTGATAATAACTAATGATCTCATGAAAACTATTTCTGAGATGCTGGCAGTTAATGATGATCTGGGTGGTGCTTTTTTTAATCTGGGTTTGTTAGACATCTGGTTTTTAATACTTTATTTCAGGAAGATTTAAAATGTTGCATGCTTCCTTTTAGCTCTATTCTGTGCTTCCTTTAACTCAAAATAGTGACAAGAACAATTCATGAAGGCTAAAGTAAATAAAATCTTTCATATTAAAGATTAGGACTTTATAAGAGAGCAACACTAAGTTGTAAAATGAACTCCAGTTACATAAAAATTTTGAGAGGACTTTTTCTTGTCAAATCCATTTAATTTTGAAACTAATGCAGTTTCATTGATTGAATAAAACTGAATAAACTATATTAGTGGGGAGAGAGTTTTATTGTATGATCTAAAGTAAAAACATAGAAGGAAAGTGCAAGATAAGGCTTCTTTCTAAAATATTACCAGCTCTAGTGATATCAAAAACATAGCATCTTGTAAGATAACTTTGTTTCTTCTTTTTTTTTTTTTATTTTTTTTATTCTTTAAGTGGAACACCTCTCTTACATGCAAAATAAATATTTTAAGTCCAGCAAGCAATTTCAGTGCGGGTTGGTAAAATAGTACTCACACAGTCAAAGAATAAATTGGTTTAAATCTTTCTCCTTCCTTGTTTTCCTTCTGACTGACAGCTTTCACAATACTATTGAAATATTTTGATCGCTCCAAGATACAGAAACCTGGTAACTACGAAACTACATAAGGATCTCTCTCCAAAACAGCGAGGATATTCTAGCACTTGTGGGATGTTTTTGCTGTATGTGTTAGACAGTGGCCTTTTCAAAAGTACTAGGGATAAATGTAATGATTTGTCTTGTTCCTGTTTGTGATGAGCCGTAAGTCTTGCAGGCATCTCAGAAGATCTTTTCTGGCAATGTAGTTTTAGACTGGGTGAGTAGCTTAAATCCAAGCTTATGCCTTAAAGCTGACTGGACTCTATAGAAAGTCAAAGTCCAAGGGCAGGAAGTCTCTTTTTAATCCCCTAGGCAGAGGAAAAAATTTAGCTTCCTGATAAGCATAATCGTTAAGTATTATAGAAAAAGATGCTTGGGCATCAATACTGTCTGCTTCCAAAAACACTGAGATATTGCCACTTAACTTTATTTTTTAAGTGACCTAAAAGATACTCCTCTAATTTCAGAAATGAGTGCAAGCTCTGCAGCCTGAGCACTGCCAACATGCAGTTTTGGGGTGAATCTGTAAGATGCAGTTTAAACTTCTGTGGTGTCGGTGGTGTTTTTATATTATCTACTTTAAAGAAGAATGTGGTCAGCCTTGGATGGCCCCCTGCTCCCTGTACTGTTTCAAGTGCTGGTTGGAGCTACTTGCCTTGTATTTTGGAAAGATCCTAGCTCGGAAGTCTGGATTTCATTTAATTTGCCAGGCTACTACCAGTGGTGGTAGGAAGGCCATTTTGACCTAGTGTGAGGAACGACTTCATAGTTTTATTGGTAGAAGAAAATTAATCTGAGAAATACCAAAATAAAACGTGTTGGGAGGTTCAAGGTGTTTTCATGTGTGAAAGCATTTCCTTAGGTCTACAAATTACTTTCAAGTATAAGTCCCTATGTAACTTACATTAAATGTAAATTTACTAGTCTTCTGTGGAACAGTATAATTGGTTATTCAGAGTCTATCCCTGTGAAGCTGTACAAATTGCTTAGGAGAAAGTTAGATGTTCTCAGATGTTCTTGGTGAATGTGATGTCTGTCAGACTGAAGCAAAACATAGTTTGTTTTGGTTTTTTACAATAAGTCTTCATGTCATTGAACAGAATAACACGTAAGAATAGGGGTTTTTTTAATGCCTACACTGTTGACTAAAAAATAAATAGTTATATGTAGTTTAATGTTTGCAAACTCTGGAGTAGAGGTAGACATAGACTCTTTATTACTGTATTAAATTGTAATATTTATTATGTTCAACATGATAAATCATATAGAAATTAGGATCATAGAATAGTTCAGATTCATAAGGTTTCTAGTCTGACCTCCTGCTCAAAGCAGAGTCAGCTTGTGGTCAGATACAGGTTGCTTAGGGCACGGAAAATGTTGTGCATGGGCATTTCATTTGTTATATTTGTTTAATCACTGCAGAAATACCTTGCACGCTTTCTTCATGCTTTCCTACATCCATATCCTCATAAGCCTCACAGAAGAATTCGATATCTCTTTTTCTCCTTCTTTATTGCACAGTGTAGTATCTCTAAATATCATCTGGAGTCAGCAGTTCTTTCTTAATGGTAATAAGTGCTTCTGTCCAGTGGCATTGGTATTGTTAATGGCCCTGACAGTTCTTGTAGAGAGCAAGGAAGCTCTGAAGAACAAGTGTTTGAACTGCAGAGTGGAGACCCCTGAACCCATGATGGTGGTGGCCCTTTGGGAAGGAAGAGAACTTGCAGTTCTAGGAATTCTAGTGATTAGGAGCGGAGATACTGTATCCTTGCCTCAGCATAGCTGGGAGGGGGACGTGGTTTGTATACATCAGCAGTTTGTAGCTTGTGTTCTGGGAGGGCTCTTTAACCAAGTAAACTTGCATTCAAGGTGGTGGTATGGAAAGTCTGTAAGAAGCAGCTCTTTAGGTTTTTTTTTAATTCAAATTATTAAAGAATGATTAAATGGCAGTCTGCAATACATCTAGTGTTTGTAAATAGCATTTTGAAAACATTTTTTTTGTTGCTTCCTGAAATTGTGATGTTCTAGTTCCACCTGTGTACAGTCAGATTGCTGGGGGAAGGGTCCTCTTGCCCAAATGAAGAAAATTCCTCAGTAGACGTAAAGCAAGGCACGCATGAGAAAGATTTGACAAGTCACCATATACTTATAGGAGTTTTCAGTGTTACAGCATAGTTCTTAAAGGAAAAGTTACTGTTTACTATTCATGGTTTTTGTGTACAAAAATGAACAGCTACAGTGAGTATAGAATTTGTCTGCTAAGGAGCTTGACTTCCATAAGCAACTGAAATTCTGATATTTATTATGGGGATGTATGTTTAACATATAATTCTATGTGTCAGCTGTTTGAATATTGGGGGCTTTTGTATTAATAGGTAGATGCCATCCAGAATACATGGGGAGACTCCAGTACTACTTGTGATGATTCTGAACCTAATATGAAACTATTAATTGGCAATATTACCTCTCTTTGCAAGGATGGAGGCTATATTAATGGGAATACTTTTTTTGCAATGGAAAACGTCTGTGAAGGTAAGGTCTTTCTTGTGTGCTCTTCCTTAATTTTTTATATGTACAATATAAATATCTTCTGATAAACTTGCAGTGCACATCCCAAATAGGTTCTGATGGAGTGTATAGGGATTTGGGTGAAGAAAGATGCCTGTTCATTCTCACTGAGTATAAGTTGCATGCAGTCAGGTAAACATAAGATACATGTAAGTAAAGTGTATTTTTCCACTAGGATCTCTTGCCATAGTTTTTTGTAACCTACTGAGGGAAGAACAGCAAAGAGAAATTTGAACTTAGTGGATCTGAATAATACATTGTTCTGGCTGGTCATTTTATTTAACTTAAGCTAGTTCTGTATGGGAGTAATGCAAATGTCATCAGCAATTTAACTTGAGAAATGTTTTGTTTTACATAGGTTTTGAACCTTGTGAAGGTGACTGGGTGCAAGCAAAATATTTTATTAACCCAATAACATGGCACAGTGAAGCAGTTGGTGTAAAGCCTTTGAGATATAAGCAAGTAGACAAGGTAAATGTTCTGCACATTGTTTTTGGCAAGAGGAATCTTGCGTGAAGTGGGGTTTTGAAGGTGGTTTTAAGCTGCTCATAATGGTCAATATTCTATAACACATCTTTAATTAAAAGGTAAAATATATAAACTCATCCATTTATAGGATTATTTCTAAAATAACAAAGCTTTTGGAAAAAGCATACGCGTTTTGGCTAGACCAGGAAGAGTAACTTATTTACTGGCTATCAGTTGTTGATTTGGATGCTTACTGTTCTTTTGGTTGCATTGGTTGTAATGAGGATGTGTGAATTTTCAAACTTTTGTTTAAGAAGTAATGACTCTGGAATTTAATATGTGTAATCTAATATGTGTAATTTATCCAAGTGTTTTGGCTTAAAAACAACCATTGTATCTTTTTTTTTTTAATTTTAATGAAAATGTATTCCCTGGAGGAATAAATATATTAGGTTTATGGTTTATTGTGTTTGCCTTAGCTGTATATATTGAATAATATTCGCATGTCAAGCATTGAAAAAAAATTATTCTCTTGTGGCTGCTGGTATTGAAGTATAAATTAGGTAAGTTGGCAAGTCACAAGATAGATATCAAGTCAACTGTATGTATTGTTGTATGCACTTAAGTGGAACCTAATGCTTATCTGAAGTTCTTGTGTTTCTTTGCACTTGTAAATCTAAAGGGAGCAGAGTGATTCCAGGTGAGAGCTCTGTCTTTACCGCCCATGAATAACTGAAACTTTTGAATGCAGCTCTGTTTATTGTAGAATGACTGTTAAAGGAAAAAACTATGCAATAGCAGTATGCCTGTTAGCGTAAGCAGATAATATCAAGTAACACTGAATAATGAATTGTTACAGGTTCGCATTTCCAGCATCTGTGGAAGAAATGGCACAGTAGATGAGAGTATATTTTTCACTTTGGATTCATTGAGACTTCCTGATGGCTATTCACCGTGTAGACATGATCTAGTGAACACAATTGTGGTGGAGAGCAGTCAGTCATGTTATATTTGGAGAGCTCTCTGCTTGGTGCCAGTCAGCCAGGACGGGTAATATTCAGTCTTTTTTTCTCTTTCCACTTAATAATAACTAGAGAGGTATTGTAATTATGCAGCTTAGATTTTGTTTCATCTAGTAAGCAAGAAATATTGTGAATTCTTTTCTAGTTGACTAGATAGGTATGATGGATGGAGGGAGGAGGGTGAGCAAGTGGCTGTCTGGTCTTGTTTGTCATTAGCTGGGTTCAAAACCACAATAATTGAGAAGATCAGAGTGTGATATGATTTGGCACTGGCTTTTTATTCCTTTCCAGAAGGTGGGGACTTCTGTGCTTACTAAAGAAGCGAAACTAGTAGCAGCTGCGCTCAGGGATGTTGCTAGGCAAGGAAGGAATTTTGCATGTTTTTGATAGAAAATGCCAAGCTCATGGTCTTATCTTGTTTCCTCTAATCTATGTTCTTCTGGTGAGGACATTACTGTTTGTAAAACTGTTCTCAGCAAAACTGATGTAAAATTGATGTTTCTTTAATTCATTTTGCTTAAGTTATAGGCAGATATCATTAAGCTATTCCATCTAGAACAGATATGAATAATAGAAATTAATTGGGCTTGCAAATATCAAACTGGGATGTTCTGCAGGCACTTTAGATGGCATATGTGATTTGAGGAGGATCTGGACAGATTGCAGAAAGGGTTGGAAAAAGTAGATGATCAGTATGGAGAAGAAGCAAAATTTAGTGAAATAATGAACTACACAACTGTAGAGGTAATAGGGCTATTACCTGTAAATTCTGTCACTCTCAGTGCTAACAAGGCCTTGACTGGATTACTGAGTCTGATTCCACAGGACAAAAATAAGCTGCTGACCAATTGGAAAGTCCAAAGGAGAACAAGGACATTCTGGTATCTCTCAAACATAGTCTTTGGGACAACTTGCTTTATTTGATCTCTAGGAAATATAGCTAAGGATGGTACATACATCGTCAAAGGAACTATGAAGAACAGAATAAGCTGGTCTTGCTGGACATAATGGATATAATAGATTTAAATTGTACCTAGATGTGAAGCTTGAAGTGTTTACATCACTTTGCACAACAGTACAGTTTGTTCACTTATTTTTTCAGTTGGACCTATTTTTAATGATGTATTTTATACAGAATATCATTACTGAAGCCAGGCCTTTAGGGTTGATTTCTCAGTTTTATTTCCTACCATATCAAAAAATTGAGGCAGCTTAAGCTGCGATGGGAGACATCTAGTGGGCTTTGCTAGTAAATTGGTGTAGCTAATAAAGAACAGCTGCAGTCATTTTCTGTTTTACTATATTAGATAACCAAGGAATTCTTAGAGTGTGTAAAGATTGGGGTGATTATTAAAATATTTCAAAGTTATTTGCATGACAATTTATCTAACTGATTAGTTTCTTAACTGTAGAATAGAAACAATTTTTTAAATGGTTTCTACAGGTAGCTGACACTAGGAGGTAGAGCTCTGGTCACTCTCTCAGACATGGAAGAGCACATGACTTTGGTTTCATAGGCATTTTTCATCAGTAGTATGTGTGATAGTAGTTTTTAAGGGTGCTTTTGTTTTTCAGCTTCTTAAAAATTTCTTCTTCAGTTTGCTACTTTCAGATCATAGCATAAGCAGAAGATTTAAGTGCTTGTGGTACATGTTGAAACCCTTCCAGTCTAGCCATTTTATCTCTTAAGCTCCAGTGCTAATCAGGACTTTTGCTAAGGAGCTGTTCTTTGTTGTGTCTTGGTTCAACTCCCAAGGAGATCCGTAACAGCTTCAGTCACTGTTTGATTCAGCTCTTCAGCAAAGATTAGCTAGCTTCTTAATCATTTTAATCTTGTATCCAAGGTTTATGCTGGTTTATTGCACTGTTGACAAAAGGCTTGTTGGTTTTAATTTGCTGCTTAAATTTGTAAAGGTAATCTAATTGTCTTGGAAGTATATGTAACAGAAAAAGTTAACCCTTTCATGTGCTTCTTCCTAAGTACCATGACTGTGCTTTGGTGTAGTGATTCTTAAACTTGTGCTGAATCACAGATATTTGCTGAGTCTATTTGTGTTTCAAAATTGCTACCTAAAATTATTTTTGCAGACAAATTCACTCTAATGGGGTCAATCTGGATGAGCCTTATGAGAACTTAATGAGAGACAAAGGAGGTTTGGAAGTATCAAGAATGAGTAATTTTGGAACTCTGAAGCAGGGGGAATCTAAAAGAATGATCATTTGGATAGAGTAAGCCTTTCTGATTGTTGTAAGCTTTCTTTCTTTCTTTCTGTCATAGTCTGTAAACCTGTCTTTCATACAGAAGCCTCTCATAGTTGAGCCTTGTGGTTCGTGGTCTTCCACGTAACCCACAAATACTGTGGAATTAAAGATAATTTCATATTCAATTTAGTGTCTTTAGGACAGTCTTTTTATTGAGCATCTGTCTTGCAGATAGTGCTTTGAGACTCCCCAGTCCTGTCTTTTCTCAATCCTAATAAAATCCTTTCTAGAATGAGTATTAAAGTAAATGCTTTTACTTGTGTGTTTAATTTAGACTGCAGATACGCTGTCATCTTCAAAATCTTCGAACAAAAGGATTGTTGCCTACTTATGTATTAAAAGCAGACCAAATGGGGTTTTATATATATA